TTCATGATCAAGGATATTAATATGGAACATTCGATTAAGTGTTTCTTTACTTGATCCAAATTTATAAAAATATCATTGTACAAAAGCTATCAATAGAGTTTCATTTTCTACTTGAATGATTGTATAGAGCTAAGATATCTAAAAATTTATACTGCTTTGCTCAATGATAGATGCCAATGACAAGCATTAGCAATCACCATTGTCATAACCTAATTTTCATTGTTAAATTTACATAATTTGACTATTATCACCTTACCCTATTAGTGGACTTCAATTGCTTGACTGTGGACAACCATCCTTTGTAAACCTTATGATATAAATTAGATAATTGTATTCAATTGTGTATAATCTTGTTATGTTCATGTAAGAGGCAGGATGAACACTTGTATGTTTAATTATAGAGTGAATTATTTTAATGGGACCATCAATCACTCAAGAGATCTCAATAATAGATTCCAATTAACCTAATAAGAAGGCTTAGTGATTCCTTATTAAGTCACAAATGTGAACAAAATAAGGGAAACTTTTCAAGCCCAACCTTTTGAAAATAACCATTCTTCTCCAAACCAAGCCAAACTTAAGAATCAACTGATTTTTCTTTTAAACATAGATTTTGATTGCAACTCGTGCAACATAAGGGAAGAAAAGAGAAGAAGTAGAAGAATCAACCTTAAGACCTAAGAGGAAAAAATTTTCTGTGCGAACACCGAACGACATCCGGAGATCACAGAACGCGCCATGTCACTTTTTAGCTTGGTGTCGGTGCTCGGTACTGCTTGTGTACCGGATGACATGACATGTTCTGATAAGTCTCTGTACTGTCCGGTATCCGCACAGAATAATCTCTCCTCTAAAGTCAGCCATACACGATTGCCTTACAGAAAAGAGGTAAGAATGATGGTTCAGTATTGGAATCAAACGGTGCCCATTGAAGGTTCTGCATTAACAAACTACTAATAGAATAAATTCTTCAAGCAACATAGTTTATAATAATCATCATCAGGATGATGAAGGAAAAAAAAAGTATTTTATCTAAGAGAACCAAGTTAAAACAATATGTAAATTTCAAGTTACTAAAAATTCTTTCTAATAACATCCACCAATATACGACAAAATTTGAATTTATCCATTAAAGCCAATTGAAAGGGTAAGGTTAGGCCTTCAATCTCCTCTTTAAAGTAGCAGAAGTGGTGAGATTCCGCATTAATAAGCTTCTATGAGGGTCACTACAAATGTACTTCCATCGGATAATTTGATCACTACAAGATGTACGAATAAGCTTGGTTAGATTATTAATTAACAGAGAAATCTTAAAGTCCAGCTCATTTAGGACAAAATACCGCATTCAGTTCCAATACTTCTATGAGGAAAAATTATTTTGTGCAGAATCGGATTGGCGTCTGGATATCAATTAGAACACGTCATGTTATTTTTTTGCTCAATACTAGTGCTCGATCTCACTGTGTACTGGAGGACGTGGCGCGTTCCGATTGGTCTCCTGACCGTTTGGTGTCAGCACAAATAATTTCTCTTCTATGAACGTCATAGATAGTCGTCATTGATTTTTATCATTGATATAAGAGAATTCTTTTATCAAACATTTATCTTTCCAGTGACATCAAGAAATCTAATATTTCTACAATGACAAATCAGTATCAAAATTGTTGGCTATAATTAGGGTTGTCAATATTTGATTCGACCCGAAAATCCAATCTGGACCCGACCCGAAAAATCTTAACTCAAATGTCAACAAACTTTTAGTCAAACTAAATGTCTTAGCAAGACGAAACCAACGACACCAAAATCGATCCAATCTGAGTTCAAATGGGCTCAATTCAAGGGCTTAAAACATATTTGGAAGCTTGATCAGAGAATTGATTGGATGACCAAATGATCTTCAAATTAGACATGCTTATTGTCAAATCAAGCGGCTCGAAGAGACGAATCCAACGAACTAAAGATCACTCAATTTTAGCATCATTAAAGTACTTAAATGTTGAATAAATACTTCATGATCGAGATAATCAATATAGGTCGTACGAATAGGTGTTTTGTATTCTGGTTCAAATTACCAAAATACTCATCCAAAAAAGCTTATAAATAGAGCTTATTCTCTGTATAAGAAGGGGAAGAATAGATAGAGAACAATAAAACTTTCAATTTTCAATTTAGAATTTATTGGGTGTGGAGGACCCATTTTTTGAAGGTTCCTTCTCGTCTCTTTCGGTTCACGCACGACGGAGAATCCTAAACACAAAGAAGAACAAGAAAATAGTAAAAACAAGAAAAACAATGGAGAATAAGCCCATCAATTCAAAGCCGATGATGAAACTATTTTTGATGCAACAACTAATATTGGAGCTTATAACTACCTTCTATTCTTCCAGTTCAACATATTATATGCAAAAGGAATACTAATACAAAACAAAGAAGATTATCAATTTTAGTTCTTATTCTAATTAATTTGATATCAGAGAAAGAAAATTCAATGAAATTATATGCCAAAACTTTATAAATAAACGATTTGCCTAACTTTGTAAGTGATGGCACTCTTTTCATTGTTCCTAAGTTATTCGTTTTAAAAGATTGGTTAAAAAACAAAAGCTTTTAAAATAATAATAATAATAATTAAATACTCAATTTCTTTTGTGTTGTCAAGTAGTGTAAAAGAGTCGAAAAGTTTTAAATAATGATTTGATACACTAAATTTAGATTCTCTAAGCTGATCAAAGAATCTTGGTGGTCAGTGATCTCCGCTAATATAAGATCGCCTAGTAGACGATGCAATATTTTATGGGTAATAATCAAATGATGTCTTAAATTTAAGGCAATAACACTCATGCTTGATTGCCCTAAACCTAGGGTGCAATTCTAATCTATTTGATATTTTCTATAAAGAAAAACAACCAAATTTAAATAATCCTATTAAAATCCAAGTTGAGTCAGCAAAAAAGTTACTAAATTTGAGCATTTCAATGAATTTAAGCTTCATATTACCTCGATATATCAAGCCGACACAAAAACCATCTAGCCCACTTAACTCAAATTATATTAGAGCTACCACACCTTCATGATAAACATTTCAACCAACTCATAAATTAAACAACAAACTAAATCACATTATATTCTAAAAACTCATAAATTGAGTAGAAATTCACTTATCAATTAAATTCAAATAACTCATAAACAAAAATTTAAGCCACGTCTTAATTATAATGAAGACTTGTAATAAATCTAAGCCACAAACCAACTAAGTTGTGTTGTGTGAACAGCGTGGTGTTAAATGATTCTCTGACTAAAATGTTTGATGTTATTGTTACTCTTTATATGCCCACTTCTTCCTTGATAATTTCGGAAGGAAATGTTGGTATCCATATTTCTATTATCTCTAATGAGGGTTTGAAAGCTCATTTGGATTCGTCTTTGCATGACACTTGTGTGAACCAATCTGATTGGCTTAATGAGCATTTGTCCTCGCATGACAAGGGTGAGAGGGATGAACTGGAGGTGGCCGAGGAGGAGTTTGATGTTGTGTTTAAGTTGAATGTGAATCACACTGTTGAGAAGACCTTCTCCCATGGAGGTGCAAACACTGGCGGCGTAAACCCAAAAGAAGTAATTGTGTTTTGTTCTTTTTCGTTGGGGGTGTTCTTTTGCATTGGTGGTTGTTGTGTGTTTCTCTATTGGATGGTGGGCGTTCGGGTTTTGTGGATGTGGGTGGCTTTCGTTTGGTTGGAATGTTATACTGGGGGTTGGCTTTGCGGTTGTAGCGTTGTTTTGTGGGCAATAATGTGGCAGCTTTTTGCTCACCACCTAGACAGTTGTGTCATGTTGGCAACCACTGGTGGTGCTTCCTCTTTTTCTTTTTGGTGACCTTGTTTTGGATGATGGATGCTACTTGTGCCAGTTGCGTTTTCATTTTTGTGGATTGTTGCTTACTTCCTCCTCTAGATGGTCCGTGCTTGGCATCTAGGTGGTTCTAGGAAGCTTGTGCTAAATACTAAGCATGGCTGGCTTCTTCGCCTTCTTCACTGTTTGATTTCTCTTCATTACTGACTTTTGTTTTATAAAGTTATAATCTTACTTTGTTCTTGTTTGGCTTTGATTGTATCATCCTTTTTATTTTATGGAATAAGATGTCCCTTTTATCTAAAAATAAAAAAAGCAATGGCCATTCGTGTCGGGTCAGGTCAACCCGGCAACCCGGCCGGGTTTGGTCCGGGTTGAAATGTCCGACCCGTTTGCAAAAATGGGTCGGGTTCGGGTTGACCCGTTTAGATCCGGGTCAACTCGGGTTCGACCCGAACCCGACCGGTTAACTCGAATTGACTCCCATTAACATCACAAAATCTTGCTTTAGCATCACAACTAGTGCCAGTCGCAACCATATTCTTATTTACAGCAGAACCAATGATTTCTCTCGCTTGCAAATATGTAATCGTTTGAAATTATATCGCAAATATATTGCAACCTATCATTGCTTGCAATGGCAAAATATTTCTCAAACAGTACGGAATAAACAATATATATTCGAAGAATTTGGTGAGAAAGCTCAATTTCAAACCAGAATCTCTACGGGAGAAAGTCGGCTCTCCTTTAAGCATTCTAGATGAGCCATCCCTGATGTTTTTTGCTGCTATATTTATTATTATTATCTATCGCCAGTAGTGAATTCGACTCTGCCAATTTGAAGAAAAATTCTCTTTAGCAAAGTCTTCCCGTAAATTAAGATTTCATCGCTCAGTTGACCTTTAATGTTACATTTTACGTATTTTTATTCAATTTAAATTAAATACAGGGCTAATTATTTTTCCAAAGTCGGCCCTGCCTTCTTAAATTCAAGTCCCCCTTCACAGTTATCAGTTCCCATCAATTATTCACACATCGGAAGACTTGCAGTCCACAAATACCTTTCCCTTTTCCAACATTGGTTGGTAGGTAGCAGCAAAGCATTAATGGTGAAATAACCGCCCACGGCCCTCTCCCTCCCCTTTACTAATACTAACCAACAGACCCCCATTTCCTTCCCTAACTCTCCTACCCTGCTCCGATCCCTCCAATGACAGAATCCGGCCTCCCCCGCTCCTCCTCTTCCTCCCCCATCATCCCCAAACCCATCCACCGCCGCCGCCTCCCTCTCATTCTCCTCCTCGTTTTCCTCCTCCTACTACTCCTCGCCGCCATCATCGTCATCCTCGCCCTCACCGTCTTCCGCCCCCGCGACCCTCGCACTCAGCTCGTCTCCGCCACCATCAGCGGCGCCTCTCCTCACTTCTCCCTCCCCACCCTCACCCTTTCCATCAACCTCACCTTCGCCTTCGACATCCTCGTCTACAACCCCAACCGCGCCTCCTTCTCCCACGGCCACGGATCCACCCGCCTTCTCTACCGCACCGCCTACATCGGCGACGCCGACGTCCTCCCCGGCCGCATCCCCTCACATGGATCCACCCACCTTCAAGTTTCCCTGACTGTTGATGGGTCCCGCCTCGCCGGCGAGACCAGGAACTTGGTCTCCGACGCCATGGCCGGTGAGGTGGACTTCGACGCCGAGACGAGGATACCTGGGCGGGTTAAGTTCTTGGGCTTCATCAAACACCACGCCGTGGCGATATCTAAATGCCACGTGGCCGTCGGTTTCCCGAACTTGAAGGTCATGCGTCAGGACTGCACTCAGAAAACCAAGTTATGATCACCGGACCGGTGACCATACTCTGTTTGGGAGAAGAATCGGTTTTACAGCGTTATTATTATTACCGCATAGACTATACGAGAGTGGATTATGGTTCAAAATTTAATTGGATGGATTTATTTTGAGATATATAAATAATTTATTAAATTTATATAGATATACGATTGTGATTTTTGTTGGTTGATTTCGTTCTCCATTGTACCTTTTTAATATTGTAGAGTTGCAGATGAATTATTGCTTGTAATATGTGGGCCCGCCTGTGAGAATTTGTGATTTATTATTGTTATTTTCTTGACTGTAAACGACTGTACGTAGAATGATAAAATATTCTCTTTTGATTAAGTGATCTTAGCGGCTTTCACGAATTTTAAAATCTTGGTACAAATTCTCCTTCTGAAGCTGTCCTCGTTTCTTAAACAATATTACTGAGCATTTATATTACTTTTGTCTATGTCTACCATTTTTTTTACCGAAATGGTAATTTCTATTAATTCATCTTATAACAAAATTAAAATAATTTTTTTTTTAATTTGGTTTTCTTTTTCTAACCCAAAGTATCATCTTTTCTCTCCTCGGATCCTTCATGCTTTAGGTTCTATGCTTAGTCGGCCCTTAAAATTCATCAATTCCACCTCTGTGGATTCTCCGTCTTCTCTTGCGCGTGTTTTAGTTAAACGGGACATTACCAAAAATTATTCGGACTAAATCTTTCTCAGTCATGAGAATTTAGGGTATATTCAAATGATTAAGATGGAAAATTTTTCTCTTTTTTGTGTTTCTTATAAATATATTGGTCATATTAAAGATAATGTCGCACCGATCTTCTTTTCCTATGCATGTTCCTAATATTACTTCAAATCTTTATTTTTCTGATCGGAATGCTAATGATTATAGAGCATAAAAAAATTCCCAAATTAAAATTGACAAAAATTATTACAATATGAATCAAAAGGAGCACCACAAGAGCAAAAAAAAAAAAAAAACTTATTGAGCCAAAAGGAGCACCGCAGTTGACAAAACCAAACCACGTCCTTCCACGGTTGGCAATGGGAAATGAGCCATTAAAAATTGAGGCAGCAAGTCATTAATAAATAAAGTGGGAAGAATCATCAAAGTGTAATAAGTAACAAAATGGGGGTTTTTTTGACTTCCTGGCTTCTTCTACTTTCATGGCTATTTATTCACTTATTATGCTCATTAAGATTTTATTTAGGATGACTTTCTTACTGTTTTTTTTTTAAACAGTTTTCAAATACAAAAATTTTTGGAACTAAAAATTTTTGTACTAAAAAACTGTTTTAGAAAGCATTAAGAAAGCCGTCCTAAACGAAGCCTAGGTCCAACGCTAGTAATGCCTGCAAGAAGATTCATTCAAGTTTTTTAGTTGTCTTTTATTTTTGGGTGAACTTGTCTTATTTTTTCATGTAGCTCCAATTTTATTGGAGATTTCTTTGAGAGTCTTAGGCTTTGATTGTCGTAGCTTTCTTATTGCTTTGTTTTTTTTTTTTTTTAATTATTTGAGTATTATATTTTTGTTGCTTTAAAAAAATTTACTAGAAAATTGCTTCCTATAATAACTTTAAAAGCTATTTACTCTGTAATAATTTTACAAAATATTAAAATTTATTTCTCAAATAAATCTTGGTGTCGTTGAGTTCGTATTTCCGAGACGCTCAGTTCGACTATAAGCTCGCTGAAATCGGAGTTCAGGTGCTCCCGGATTTAATTTTTGAGGTTTCCAACTAACTTTTGCCTCGAGATTCGTGCCCGATCAAGCTAATTTTGTGATGACGTATCAACTCTGTAATAATTTTACAAAATATTAAAAATTATTTCTCAAATAAAGGTGTATTTTTTCCCATCATTGTTTTTTTTAATTAGCATATAGTGAATGAAGGCCATGCCCTCAATTTTCCATTTTAAAAAAAAAAACTTTCTCGAAAAATCTTGTAGTCCCGATGGGAAGAGTAAAGCTGCTGAGATGGCAGCAGCCTGCCACTGTGGCAAGCATAATTTGTTTTAAATGTTATTTACTATTAATATTATTTGCCTTTACAAATAAATCGGTTGAACCAAAACAAAATTCTAATTTATTTATTTATTTATTGATGCAACTTCATAAAATCAACTTGATAGTTGCGAATTTCAAAGCGAATGAAAATTTTCAGAAAAAAATTCTTAATAATCCAGATTTCAATTTTAATAAACTTATAATTGAATTCAACATATCAATAAAACAAAACCCAATAATAAAGCAATTTGATTTAAGTACAAATGAGCTCAAATCGAGCTTGTAAAACATATTTAGTAACTTTGGGATATTATATAGAGGTTCAACGATATCAAAATCTTGCATGATTTTAGGAAAATAAAGCTGATCGACGAGACAAGTCCAATGACCTCAAAATCATTTAGTTATGAGGACAATAAAATACTTAAATACTGAATAAATGACCTATGATGAAGAAGATTATATGAGTCCTTCATATGAGTGTTTTAGATTCTAATTGTTGCATCCTGGAATATTCCCGGTGGTAGTGAGGTAAAAAGTTTAGCGTCCAAGCTTAATAAGAAAATCTAGTACACAAATAGGTAGAAGAGATGGGTGCATCACTCACAAGAGTCGTCAAAATTTTTATGTGTAAAGCTCTAAAAAATGGAAAAAAAAAAAATCCACGGAGTCTCGCCCAGTTGAAATGAGTCCACTAGTATTGGTGGTTGATTACAAATGATGTCCATCCTCGAAGGAGGGCGCGGGATCAATGTAGAAAATATATACTATATATAACACAATAAATAGTTGGAGAATGGTATAACAACAATTCTTAACAAAATGTTGATATGTTTGTTTCATCAATACCGTAGTCGGAGGCCGACGGTGGTCGGAAAGCTCATACTCGGCGGACGATAGTGGTTGGTAAGACTGTAGTCGGCAGGAAACTGAGGTTGGAAGGATCGTAGTGACATGCTTCGTAAATATAAATTTAGCCATAGGCGGAGGGAAGGGGGGGGCAAGGGGGGGAACGTGCCCCCCCCTAAAAAAATTAGTTATATATATAATTGAGGTATGACCGTATGAGAGGAAAGGAAACTGCATAAAACATAGAAGAAGGAAAAGCTTGTTGCCATTTTCATTCTAACAGGTTTTATCATTGTACCGGTACTTAGCTTTATATTGGTGTATGTGTTAACGTTGTGTGCTATAGGGATGTAAATATTTGACACGACCTGAAAATCCGACCCGAAAATTTCGAGTTATGGTCAACCCGAACTCGAAACGGGTCGGGTTCGGGTTCAGCATTTCGACCAGTTTCAAAAATTGGGTCGGGTTCGAGTTAACCCTTTGACCCGAAATTGACCTGAAAGTGACCCGATTTAGACCCGAAAACCCGATTTTGACCCGGCAACCCGAGATTGACCCGTTTTTGACCAAAAAATTAGCCATTTTCTGGTTGAAAACGGGTCATTCGGGTCGTGTCGAGTTGACCCGGACCCGAAGCAGGTCGAGTTCGGGTCAGAAAAACTAACCCGTTTTTAAAAAAGGGTCGGTTCGGGTTGATTTGAATAGTGCCGGGTCAGTTTCGGGTTCGACCCGAACCCGACCCGTGACCCGAAATTGACACCCCTAGTGTGCTATAAGGTAGAGAGAGAGTTATTAGGTTCAATTATTTAAATTCCAAAAAAAGAGATATAAAGAGAAAATTAAATTAAAATTACTTTTCCTTAAATCTATCTAATCAAGCACAAATTAATATAATAGTTTAAGGTCCTGTTTGGGACGACTTACTATTTTTTAAAACTATTTTTTAGTACAAAATTTTTAGTTTAAAAATTTTTAGCTAAAAAATTGCTTTAAAAATAATAAGAAAGCTGTCCCAACGAAGCCTAAATCGTTAGTATTCAAAACATAAAGTAGCAAAAATAAATTTGATGTGCCTATATATATTTTAAAATAAACTTGTTGATAATATTCATGGAATAAAATTTTGAAGTCACAACAACTATTGATAATTATTTCTAAGAGCTAAGGGTGTCTATATGCTTTAAAAAATAGTAAGAAAGTTGTCCCAAATGGTGCCCCCTCCTGAATAAAATTTCTAGCTCTGCCACTGGTGAGCTAATAGGCATTCCTTTAAAGATGGTTTGTGGTGTTATCCCGGTTGTTGCCTATAATAGATGAATGATTATGTCGATTGGTAGAGAGTGATAACTCTTTATTGATTTAATGAAGCCACATGTAATGATAATTGATTAATTAAATAAGTGATGAATGATATGAATGATGACCTAATGAAAATCAATTAAGATAAAAGATGTTGAAAACACATTGTTAAAGCTAGATGTCATATATTGCTAAATCATGCATTAATACATGTATATATTAGTAGCATTGATGGCATTAAAAATATATTAATATTATTGGTAATATTTGATGCATTGATGATACATAAATATATGATGCATATAAATAAATAAGATATATTCTTTTAGTGATTTATGAATGATTTCATTTACATCATTGTTTTATAGATTCTTTTAAATTTTATACCAATTATTAATTTTTAAATTTATTATAATGATTTTAACTTTTATTATTGATCATTTTAAGTTTTATTAATACTATTTGATCATTACTATATTAATTATTATTGATTATATTAAACTAAGCATTTAATATCAACTCATTATGTGGATTTTAATGATTTCAGGTTAAGGAAAGGGTCACTACAAATTGGATTGAGATTGATAGAGATCCTTAGGTGTTTGTTAATATTTTTTATATTTTTTTTAGTCAAGAGTTTGTGATAAATTAGTGATTGTACTGATCTCCTAACTTTGTATATTAATTTAGGAGAATAAATATTATGTATTATTTTGAGGCATGTAATTATTAGTTATTTTTACTAGATACAAATTTATTAATATAATGATTTATAGAAGCTATAATTGAATAATTAAGAATATAAAGTAAATAATTATTCCAAATTTGATTATAGGGCTTTATAACATTGAGATATGGTGGATTGGGGGGGTTTCCTTCTTGGAAATTTTGGATCTCATAGACTTAGAAGGGTGGTGTTGGCCTTATTTTGGAGGGGGTTCTTTAGAAGTGGCTAGAGATTCATCCTTCAGGAGTAGGATCAGGGAGATGATCCTCAATTTGGAATGCTACAAATTTGTTAGTTGAATAATGTTGGCGATTTAAAGTTGAGTGGGAGGTAGTGCTTGATTTAAGGATGAGGCTTCTTTAGTAGGAAATTTAGGTTTGGAATTGAGTATTTACCCATACTATGGGGAAGGGGATTATTGAAAATTGATTATAATAATATTATTATATTAAAATTT